GTGAGTCAGATCCCCGGAGTACGTAGCTTTAGACGTTTATTTTCGTATACGGTTTATTTTCACAGCTTGGTGTGGGAGGTCTCTGCTGCGGCAGCAACTTGCAGTCCTGTTGCCCAGGAGCAGTTACAGTTGTTTGACAAAGGCCAGGGTCCTGTGCCCAAGGCCACTGGACCCCACCCTTCTCCCAACAAATAGCAGCCTTACCTAGAAAGAGAAAGGCCCCATCTTTCCCCAAACAAATTACATTCTTTACAAACTTACAATAATACAATCCCCAGCATGACGCAGCAACCCAGCTTCAGAAAAATGGAGACTGGCAAAGGATTTCCCCAACTCCTCACTCGATGTAAAGTCAAACTGTACCAGGTAGGTCTCAGCTCCCGGGCATGCAAACACATTGTATGCTCCTAACTGCACTGGGAAGAGGAGCAGTGCAGAGCAGTGTGTGTCAGCAGCAGCCAGGAGTCGCCCTTCCACACACCCATTTGAAACTAGCCTACAGGAAAGTTACTGACTGGTTCCTCTCCCCTCTGAAGATGCATGTAGACAGAGAGCATGCAAGGGTAACTGAAATGCATCGGAGACAAGTGCCTTCTGACTGAAAAAAGCCAGAGTGGGGGAGGCTCTTCAGTAGCAGATGGCAGCTAACTCACCTAACTTACATTAAATTCAATAAAGGGCTAGACTTTAGAAGGTCCCTGCTTTCCTGCCATAGGGATCCAGGCATAATTTGTACTGCAGTAATGGCCCCACACCCGGCCTGCATCCCTTCTAATGATGGACCCAGCTCTCTCGTTCCCTTCACACCCCTGATCTGTCTCTCTTCCCTTGACTTCTGGGACTGGCCCCATCACTGATTTGCGCCCATTCCATCTGCATTTTCAAAAGGAGGAAGAACTTCATCAATGGAGATGCAGATGACTGGAATGTGATGAGGCAAATCCAAACCAATATGCTGTAAACAGTGTTGTCTACAACATCCCACCACTTCTTTAATACTGCCAGTGAGCACGGTAGTGACAGGAAGGGGGACTGCGCCAAGGGATGTAGCATCATGCAGCTCATTAAACCCAACACAGGCACTGAAAACACACTTGGATCCTGATTCTCAGTTCCACCAAACACACACTGCCCTGGCTTCCCACACACAGGGGACTGATTAGCCCAGCTCTCACCAGGACAGTTCTTATTCAAAGGCATTTGGAAAAGCAGAGAGGGTTTTTTTCCTGATTGGTGGGGTGGGGAGTGGAGGGAACAAGAATGGTAGGTTCATTATGTGCCAGTTAAAAGTATTTTCCTTCCGCATGGGCGGCAGGGGTCCTGCAAAGCTGGAATGTGCTTTACCCCATCTGTATGTTAAACAGATACAGATGGGGAAAGGCTGGAAGGTCAGTGTTTGAGACGCTTTTTCGGTTACAATACGCACAAGCTATTAAGCCCATCACATGACCTGCAGCTGCAACAACACTTTCATGACCTGCCATCTCAATCTCAGCTTTAGAGAGAGGGCACAGTGCTCACACACCTGCTGTTCAACCACTAGTGCTGTGTGCATAAAGCAGAATGGGAAATACACAGCAGCAGCCCTCCACACCAAAGGGCTGAAGTAAAGTTTTTACAGGGTGGTTTTATTAAACTAGATCCAGCTGCACCGCTGCTATGCAATAGGAACCACTAGCATCCATACAGGTGCCACTGTTCATTCTCTGAAGTACCCTGGGGATGATGGGAACTGCAGGTTTACCACTAAACATGACCTCATTCTGCATCTTCTCCTCACCTAACCACGTTCTTTGCATACCCCAAAGTCAGAGTATTGCTGCACAATGACCGAAAGGCAGCACCCTAGAGAGGTGTCTCCCCACTGCCAACTGGAAACAGGATGAGGTCATAAAGGATATGGAAACAATCCTGGCTGGGCATAAAGACACAGCTAATGACCTACAGATTATGAAGGGACTGAATAGCAGAAGGGAAAATACAACAGGTTATTGTCTAATTACTGCCTTTTTCATTTTAAATGGAGGAGGGCCTGCGGTGTGAGGGAAGAAAAGCTGCAGGAAAGCCTGCATTCATCAGCAACATGGAAGACACTCTCTCCATAGTTAAGGCCGTGACTAGTTTTCTGTTAAACCATTCATTCTGATACCTCTCCAAGCCTCCAAGAAGCTAGCTTTGCAAAAATTATACTAATCCACTTGAGATTTCTCACACATGGTGCTCCTATGTCAGAGAGATGTTTCAGAAAATCGGGGGAGTCATACAGCAAGGTGTTAATCAGATGCGACCACTTGACACCAAAAAACCCAAAAAACATAAGTTTGCTTTTCCAAAAAAGGTTCCTCACACTTTCTGGAGTTATCAAACAGCTCAGCTAGAAACTCCAAATTTGGTTTATTATATTGTCCTGATTGAGGGCTGGTGCCTTGATTATTTTTGGGTGGTTTGGTCAGTTCATTCTGAAGTTACTTCTTATGTTTTTACTGGCCCTCCATGGAGTTCATAAACTCCACACTGCATTGGATTAAGCTTAATCACTGCACAGCCACATGTTGCAGACTTCTTAAACTCAAGTTTATAAGGGCAGTCCAACATCCTTGGAGCTCCACCACATATTACTCACAGAAAAATGAAACAAAACAAATGAAACAAAAAAGTCCAAGGGTCTGGTGTAGTTTATACAGCCGTGAGGATCAGTTTGAAACCTATGTCATGTGTGTTGGTGGTCACAAGATCTTTCAGCACAGTATCTATTCTAAATATTATATAGCCTTGTTTTTACCCCACATTGGTAATTATAGCAAAACCTGTTCTCCGCACCTGAAGTAGTATAGCTACAAAAAGTTTCCACATATCACTGGTTTAATATGCTATCTAAAGAGGGATTACTTATTGTTCATTTGTATTACAGTAGTGCTTAGGGGCCCAATCAGGAAGAACTGCAACCCACTGTACATCTGATACAGAGGTTTTTAAGGTCAGGCTTGACAAAGCCCTGGCTGGGATGATTTAGTTGGGAATTGGTCCTGATCTGAGCAGGGGGTTGGACTAGATGACCTCCTGAGGTCCCTTCCAACCCCGATATTCTATGATTCTATGATCTGCTAAAAACTTTACTGATGTCTAGCAGTGATAAAATTCAAATGCTCAAGAGTCAGGAAATTTAAAGTTACAATTCTCTCACCGATGCATGGAAAAAAATACCCTGTCAATATTCATAAAGAGCTACTCTCTATTCTCTTTAAAACCCTCCTTAAAAACCTCTCTGCAAAGATGCCTAAAATCACTCCTGCCTGGCATTGGCTAGGCAAGTGGTGAGCTGTAACTTCTGCTTTTCCACTAATCTCTATTCTTTTTATTGTTCCTTCATTCTCCTAGTCCACTCTGACTCTGTTTTTTCCCACCTGTTGTTTCCTGTCTATTATGTAGAGTGTGAGCTCTCAGGGGCAAGGCTGTTTTCTTTGTGATTTGGCTGTACAGTGCCTCATGGGCTGGGGGAATCCTTGAGTGGGATTCCTAGGCAATACTGTAATAGAAATAACAATTTATGAACAAACTGTTTGAAAAGCTGGAGATTCAGAGTTAAGATTCCACAAACAATTCTGTCCCAGAACACCCTACTCCTGTTACTGTAGCCAATCATGATTCCTGTTATATATTTCCAATATAAGCCAGGTGCCCCAGAGTTGTAAGTAGACATTTTAGCACCTGGGGCGAGAAAGCATATTTGCGCCCCTTGCCTTTTTTTCCCTGGCATTTCTCTGCTCCATTTTTCTGCCCCCGTGGCTTTGCGCCCTGGGCAGCTGCCCCACCCTGGTTACGGCCCTGATGTGCCCCGTTACAGCAGCCCATAATCCAATAACAGACTAACTCCACGCTACATAAGAGCCGTCACCTACAGACCTTCCTAGAATGGAGTTAGCTACTCCATCCTGTCTCTTGTTCATTGGATACAGATCACCCTTGTCCCTCCTCCCTCCCACATTTCCACTAGGTCAAGAGACTTTGATCTCTCACACTCTGTATATGGTGTTCAAACACTCAGCATTATCTACCATTCCACAACCCTCTCTAAGGAGAGAGCACAAACCACACTAGTCTCATCATATGCAGCTCTGCCCCTTTTTGATGTGGGGCTGACATCGGACCCTCCATTTACACTGAGATCTCCACTCAAACCCCATTTCCAATACTAGTACTAACTGCAGATGCAAGTGCTTTATCTCATTCTCTACAATTTACAAACCCTCCTATCCTACAAAGACAAAGAGGAGTTTGCAGGAAGTACTTTAAATATTTGGTATAGCTGCCACCTTACATCCTATACAGGGCCCGGGTCGTACTGGAGTAGGGATTGTTTGTAGAATCTGAATTCAATTTCCAGAGTTTCAGATGTTTGGCCATAAAATTATATTTAGAGTTTCTTGGTTGTTAAATGTGCTCTTTTGTTTTAGTTTTTTTTATATCCACAATGAACCAAAGGTTTTTAAATAGGAATAATTGCTGTATTTAAAACTTTCCCTGCCAGCCAGGTTAATTATCTGGGAATGTGGCCACACATGCACACTTCACTTTTTATAAATACTTGACACTGTTTCAGTACTTCCATTCAGTGAATGGGACTAAGCCTCTCTCTCAGAGGGAAGAGATTGCCCAACTCCCATTCATTCCAGCGGTTAGCTGCAGCTCCATTTCCTGTGTTCTAGCCCAGCGGTTCTCAACGGGGGTCTGCGAGCCATTTGCAGGGGGTCCGCAAAGCAGGGCCAGCTTTAGATTGGCTGGGGCCCAGGGCAGAATGCTCAGAGCCCCGAGCGCTGGCACCCCGTGGCAGAAGCCTCGAGCCCCTCCAATAGCAGGGCTGAAGCCCAAAGCCATGTGGCCCCCACCCATGGGGTTAAAGCCTCAAGCCATGGTGCCCTGTGGGGCAGAAGCCCTGAGCCCCAGTGCCCTGTGGCTGAAGCCCAGATCTCCTCTCCCCCCCCCCATCCCCCCAGGCCGTGGAGTGTTTATAGCATGTTGGGGAGGAGGGGGGCTCCGAAAGAAAAAGGTTGAGAACCCCTGTCCTAGCCTATACCACACTGCCAAGGATAGCTGCTCCCTGTCTGCTGAACAGAATAAAGACTAATTAAAACTGACACTTTACTAACGTGATGTTCTATGTAATTAGATATTCAAATAATTTATACTAATTTTCCTCTGAGTTGTATGAGGGCTTGGGGTTGGGCATAAGCCAAATAATCAGGGCACTGCTATAAGCAGAGGGCAGACAATTCACAGGTTGACTTCAACATGGAGTAAGAAGAGTTGCATTTTAGAAACACACTTGCCACTCAATGCCTATTTGATTCTAGTGTGAATACCACTGCAAGTGTGTGTGTCTGGGTAGCAGAGTACACTGATGCTTAAACTCCTGTTAAGTTTGTGGGCCCAGAGTTAGGAAAATGCCTGGAACCCGACAAAACACTACTAGAGGTAAACAGTATCACAGCAGCCGACCAGCCAGAGTTACTAGGAAGTGTGGCATACACTAAAACATTTTTCTTTCCTCATCCGGACAGCTTCAAGAATTGTTGTTTTTAATCCAGCAAGTTTCTGAAGCTCACAAAAGCTGTGGATAAAAGAAGTAACAGGAGTGTCACAGGTGCTGGGCAGGGATACTACATGCAGCTCTGCTGATGCATCACAGTCCTATCCAGCAGCATGCCTTATACCAACACCGTCAGGCCACCAATGTAGCAACACCTTCCCTTCTCGCCCCACAGACCTAGTCCTGTCTCCAAGGCTCACAGTTGTGCCTGCTTGGTGGCTTTACAATGTGGACAAGTATCTGCTTCTAACGGGCAAGGATAAGACCCCACCAAACTCATTTAATTTGTAATCAAAGCTAGATTTAAACGTAAGTTCTAGCAGGAAAGACTAGTGCATTAACCCGAGGCATTCTTGCCCCACTCCACAACCTCCACTGTGCCCCTTAACCACTCTAGCTAGAAGAAATAATTTCTGATTCACATTTATCTACTAATTTACAAAACGTCCAAAGCTGGTGTCACAGGTTGACAACTTGTTTGCGTTGCATCAGACAGACCCTCCCTAAAGCAGCTCCATTTCCTATTTCACATGAAATAGGGAGTTCTCAGAATTTAAGAGGGACTCTATTTCTGCTTTGCTTTCACCAAAGATGACAATAGTCAAGTTACACTGAGAGAAAACCGGGGATATCTCTATTCCTGTCTCCTTTCTAAAGGGTATTATATGCTAGCACAATTACTTGTTCCAATAAAGACAACAACTCCATGATACCACTCCATGTTTCTTCCTCCAAACTGCATTGGCTTCACCTAAAGAGGACTACGGTACAAATGAATAATTAGCCACTTGCTGGTACCCAGATGACTCATACCAGAAATGCCTAAGAGGACAATGCTATGAGAGACTTTCAGTTCCTGGTCCTGGTTTCCTTGTTCCCCATGATGGCAGGAGGTGGAAGTGCACTCAACTACTGCGTGGAAGAGGAGAGTGCCATGCTTTGCTCCTGAGCAGTCCCCGTGATCAATTACAGGGTCGTGTCTTAGCTCTAGAGGACTGGAAGGAAGGGGAGGAATAGAAAGTTGCAAAGTTCCCATCTCCCCCGCTGCCCTGCCCTGAAAGATTTGTGTGTGACATGATTGTAAACAGTTAAGGATCACCCCAGTGCTACGTCCACTACAAGCTGGGTCCCATCCCTCCCCCATTATGTACAATACATTCACCAACAACAGAAATTTATTAAAAAAGGCAACAGGTAAATTCTGTAAACTGGATCCAGCTCCAAACACACACGTTAATACTACAAGTAAATTCCATCGTCGTCCCTCTTCCACCCTGAAAAATATACCTGAGTTTAGCAGTTCATGACAGTTTCGATCTCCCCCTCCCAACCCAAACCCTGAATGAGACACACTCTCCAGTCATGACAAGCCACTAGTTTGAGATACATCCTCTGCGCTGTTGAGATCAGCCACACAGCCAGTAGCCAGGGACCCAGGACTATCCCATGTTTAAACACACACAAGAGCCATCAAGGCAGTGTGTTCCACTGGACCCTGGAAGCTACATGCCGCTGGGGAGAGGGGGAAGGTAGGAGGCCTATGTCCTCCTTCCCCCATGTCCAAATCACGTGTGGCTTTCATCTCCTTGGGGGTTCTTCCTTCCTTGGACTAGCTCTGGAAGAGGAAGAACAAAAGTTGCACTGTTATTTGCTTAAACAAGGAGTTTTATAAAGAAAAGGCTCCATCATTTACACAGTACAACTACTTCAACACGAGTGACGGGACAGGTGTTGTCCCAGGTATAACCTACAGTCAGGGATTCAGCTACGAGCATCAGGAGAGTCTTGTTTCCTCCCCACCAGAATTGCTCCGTTTCCCTCTTTCCCCCAACCCACTTCCAAATATTTCACTTCTTTAATTAGTGAAAAGAGAAAAGTTCTCATCCGAACTCTGCTCTTCGCTGGCTCTTACTTGATCCAGAGGCAATGCTGATGGTTTTTGTGGTGGCAGCTCCTCCCGGGACGTGGTTGCTGTAGGCACCTTTGCGAAGGGTGCTTGGGTCTGGTGTATTTGCATTCTGGAACCACGTTGAATGAAAGGACAGTTTTAGCACAAAAACAGCAAGAATAAATCTCATCTGCATAGTGTGTACAGATTATTTACATACAAATATGTATTCTAATTACACTAAATCTAGACCCGCCCCTCTCTCTGGATTCCCCCACACCAGGCCATGGCCCCACCCCCAAGCCAGGTTTTTTTTGTGCATTTGTCTTTGGGTGGGAGGCCAATTCTTAAAGCAGCATCATTTTCTATGCTGGAATGAAAAGTGACATGTGAAATGGCAGGAAGGATTGGTTTCCTCTGTGGAAATTTGGGGTAGGGGGCTTCCCCCATTGCTCAGGAGACATGTAAAACTGGACAAAACAATAGACATGTTCTGATTGGTGAGATAAAGCATTGGTAAAGGGATGGACAAGACAGCCTGGTCAGTCTCTCTCATTTCTATTACTGTGCTCTTTAAAAGACTGCCATGAAATTCTCCCTAAGTTTTGTAGACGCCTGACCTATGACAGCAGAACTATTTTGTCAATTTGTTCTTCCTACCAGCACCTTGGATTTCAAATCTAGACCTTTTCCAAGAGTACCCAACACTCATCACGTCCCCCAATTTTCCCCCCCTCTTGTGGAAGCCAATCTTACCCCGGTGGTCTGTACATGTCCTGGGCCGCCCCCATGCCACCTCCGCTGCCTCTCTGCTCCATCAGTAGGGCCTGAAAGTGACCCATGTTCTCTTCCCGGCAGCGGTACAGGGGTCCCTCCTGAGTGAGGCCATTGGCTTGGCTGGTGGCTGGATGACGAGACAGGTGAGTGTTCACTGGTGATCCATAGGTCCTGTGCTGGAAATGACTGGCTGGATGCCGAGATGCATAAGGAGACCCTGTCTGCAGCATCACCCCATGGGGAGGGAAAGCTGATGGACCAAATCCGATCCCAGAACTCAGAGGCGGGGGGAGAGCCCCATATAGGAACTCCCCTGCTGCCACCGAGCTCTGCCTCTTGGTGGCTGCATTATGGTTGTCCAAATCAAGAAACTCTTTGGGACTCTCTGGCCTCTCCTGGGATTCGTCTGACTTCTCATCTTCAGGCCCTGGCTCCTGCCCATCGCCTGGAGGAACCTCTTTGGCGCTTGCCATGTCCATTCGGTTTGGGGACGCCAGGGCAGTGCTGAATGCCTCGCAGCCCTGCAGACTACCCACATTCCCCCTGTCTGAGAAAGAAGGCCTGGCCAGAGGTGGGTGGGCGGGCGGATGCCCACCAGGGTTGGCCTGGGGGTGGAGAGGCCTTTGCCAGTCTGAGTAGCCTTGTGGACAAGTGTAGTATGGAGGTCGCTGGTAGTGGTGGTAGGAAGGTGGAGGTTGTGGCTGATAGGGATATGGCACCCCCTGATGGGGGCGATACCGAGGAAAGACACCGGGATGGGTGTTACTATGCTGAAAGCCCCGAGTGGGGAAATGCTGTGGATGGGACACAGAGGGAGGCTTCCCTCCCATCATAGGGCTGAACCCCTGCAGTCCTGGATTGATATGGTAACGTGTGGCCGAATTTGGATACTCCAAACCAGGCATGTAGAGAGGGGGAAACTGGCTTGGAGCCCCCCCCCACTGAGCCTCCATCCACACCAGGAGTACTGGTGCTCTGTCCCATACAAGGCACAGCGACCTCTGACAAAGTCTTCCCCCCAGGACAAAGGGGCTTCTCCAAGATGTTAACAGCCAGTCCTTTCCCCTCATTGCCACTGGAGGGTCCTTCACCTACAGCCCCATTTTCAGGCCCAGGCCCTCTCTCAGGTGCTGTCACAAGGTCTCTCACGCACGCCTGGCCTGGCGGGCCAGCGTAGGTGCTCTGTGCCGGCCAGGCATTCTTGCTCTGCATTGCCTTCGGGTCATTTTTAGTTCCAGAGTCATCTCCCTCCCCGTCCCGCGGCAAGCTCCGTCTGGTGCAGTCCATCTGTAAGGGGGGGTTGGAATGAGGTAGCAGTTTAGGGTACGTCCCTTCTGGAACACTGATGCACTGAGCCTTCTCTTCTACTCCAGGTGGGGGCTCCACTGCAAAAGGGGAAGTGGAAAGAATTAAAAAAAAAAAATCACAACTTTGTTCGATTTCACAAAGTAGACTTTTTTTTCCACTAAAGCACATTTGCCACTTAGTAATTCCTGTCACTTTAACCACATCTACCAAATATCCCCAGGATCTAGATTCAGCCGGAAGAACATCAGCCCCTCTTTCCCTCCCACCCATCTCCTTCTTCATGTCCCTGACATCCATTCCTGCTGTTGTCAGCCCAAAGTCACTGCACCTCACCTCTTGAACAACTATATTTAACTATTTCTTTACATAGCTGTCATGTTACCTTGGCTGTTTGCGGATAACGGTCACTAGCCAGCTTGTAGGTCAGTGGCTTAAATGTTCAGTGTTGGTTGCCAGCCAGCACATTTTCCATGCTGGGAACCACCACCAACAAAGCTACTAGTGCTCCAGAGGCGGTAGGTGAATCCTGTTTAAAAATTAGAGAAGACCCCGGACAAAACAGCTTTCCAGATCATGCATTGAAGACGCACGTCAACACACTGCAAATTAAAGTCAATTCTAACATTTTGGGGAAATCAACTTTTACATAAATTCCAAGTAAACTCTTGAAATGTTATGTACTACTATTATTGGTCCTATGGTAATGCCCAGCAGGATCAGGGTTCTTGGTGTGATGTGGAAAGGAAGATAAGGTCCTAGCTTTAAAGAGCTATCTGTAATCCAAAACCTAGAAGTTCTTGCTGCTTCATTTAAACTGATATTAAGTAAAATTTAATAAAAACCAAACACCAAAAAACAAATTGTCTATGCTTTAATAATAGTCTGATGATTTTAGATTTCTCTTTGAATTCTTGCATTTCTAATTATATAAATATAAAAAATTAAGTATATCTGGGTGCTTAGAAGCTGGTATAGCCAATATTTAACGTGTTTAACTATGTATCAAAATGTATTAAGCCAGTCTAAGTAGTTTGGGATCTAGCTTACAGTCTCTGCATGGGGCTCCAACACTGACTTTGTCACAAAATGACATCACCTTGCAAGCAAGAGAGCAGCTGTCAGTACTAGATGCATAAATGCTAAATTATAATTACATGCGACCATTCCCCCATCCCATTTCAATTTGGTGTAGGTGAAAAGAGTGGCTTGAGCTGCTTGGTATAGAAAAAGAGTGAAATTTTCCTTTAATAACAACAGCCATTGACCAGTGAGGTGGGCAGTCTATCAGAAGTGAGTGAAACCCTGTACAATAGTGAGGGGGAAAGGTGTGGAAAAGAAAAAAGGAAATGAAAAGTTAAACAACTCTGGCAGTGACTGCTGGCCTCTTCAGACCAACAGCATTAAAATTACCTCGGTTGCTTTCTGGCTCCACTGTCTGACTGGCATCCTGAGAGTTTCCGTTACCCAAGACCGGTTTCGGAGGCTGCACATTTGCTGATGCGACATGGGCCAGCTGTGGGAAGGGGCCAGGCAGATGCGGGGGAGGAGGCTGACGGGGGTGGTAAGGCACACCCGGTGGGCACACGCGAGATGACAGCTGCTGGATGGCGATCATCTCTGGACTGTCCATCATGGAATCCCCACCTTGGCATCCTCTCTGAACTTGAGGGGGTCCCCCAAACACAGAGGCTGGAGGCTGCTGCATTCTCTGACCGGTGGCTTTACCAGGTGGTCTGATGTATCCTGAGGCAGGGACCCCATGAGGTAGGAAATTTGATTGCTCAGTCCACTGGCTGGGAGGCAGAGGTGGTCTTATTGCCCGAGGGTCCATCATGTGACTAAGAGCACGAGACTGCAAAGAAGGTCCTGTGCTCAACGGGGGCTTCTCGTCTGGGCCCAGGGAGGTCTGGTTTGTTGCACTGTGGCTTCCATTCCATGCAGCAGGATGCGCTCGATTTAGATATTTATATGGTCTATACATATGGCCTGGGGGGACCTCTGAGCTCTCAGGTGGTCTCATTTGAGGTCCATTGTGCCTTGGAGGAATAAATCCTTGCTGGAACTGCACTGGGGGGTACATACTGGCATCTGGGGGAGGGCCACTCATCCGCCCAAACTGCAGGGATCCAGGCCGTGGCCCCAGTGCAGAGACATGTGTTGGCCCTGCACACACCTGCTTCTCTGGTGCAGCCAATCTGTGTCCTCTGTGTTCATTCAGTCCGACGGTAGACTGTGGGAGGGAGAGAAAGAGGCCAGGTTCAGTGAAAGAGTCACCACTTACTGGCACATGAAAAGCTACAAAGAGTAACAGGAGGAGACAGGAAAGAATCAGTGACTCACAGCATTTGACAGATCCCTCCCCAGGCAGAGGATGCCATTTGGCATTGTAACCAATGAATACAGCAGTCACTGACTCATACACCATGAGTACAGAAGGGCAGATCATGGCTCCCAGCTCTCTGGATCCACTCTATTTCTTCTAAGAGGCTAGAACATTGTACACATGAATTTCAGAGCAAGGCTCTTACCTGCATGGCAAAGTGCTGGTGCTGCTGAACTGGATCTCCAGGGTGGGGTTCTGGTACTCGCGGTGATCCGTACAGTTTAGCTGGATCTGATCCCCGCAGAGGGCCAAATGTTCCTGGCACTGTTGGCCGCTGGAAAGAAAAACAAAAGCTGCTGTAAGACTCTGCAGAAGAGCAAAGCTGCTACAGATCCTGGGCAGCCATGGATTGAGGTGCGTCTCAGCAGAACCAACAGGCTGTTTGAGTCTCTGACTGAATTCAGTTGCTTATTCCGAGGAGCTATGCTGGAGACTGTGGTGTACAATAATACAGCTCGCTTGCCACAAAGTTACTCCTTCACACAGGGAACCAGAAGAAATATCCCAGCTATGAATCCTACAGACCAGGCCTTTATACAACTGCCAGACACCTAACTAGCTTGAGGCTAACAATAGACAGATGAGAGAGGAGCCCCCACCAGCTAGTTCCAGGACAATTCCCAGACCCTGACAGAGCCTGGATTAATTGAGAAGGTAGACTCTTCTGGAATTCCTACCAGGATGCTTGGTAGCTCCATCTTTCACATGAGCCTCTGGGACTAGAGTTCCAAGCAGCAGTCTTGTTCATTTTACTCGGCTTTTGCTTAGGAAGCTATAAGTAGCAACAGAGGCAATTGAGCAGTCTATCTGCAGACTCAGGAAGACAAAACTGTATCATCTTTGCAACCCTAAGAGCTAAAATGTTTGAGCTTAAAATCTGTAGAACTGAGGGCATAAGTCCCACCACTCACCAAAGAAAAGTGTTTTATTTACCATTGCCATGGGGACTTTTCAAGTCTTGCATGGATCACACCAGGAAGGAAGAATGGAGGCATGAACCAAAGAACAAAGGTTAAAAGGACACAGAGAAAACTATAGAGGGACAAAGAAGGAAAAGGGAGGAGGAAAAGAGAAATGAGAACCCATGTTCCACCACCAATAAGAGGTTCCGATCATACAGTAGGGATTCTTCTAGGAACTTACAGGAGACAATTTTATTCTCGGGCCCTTCTCTGCATTTATAATCTGTGAAAAACCACAGAGGCCAGTCCTTACCATCTGGCCAGGGTGTGGCACCTGGCTGGGCATTCCACCATAATGCAGTGGGCGAGGGAAGCCTTGGCCGTTGGAAGCGCCCACCTCCCGAGGGGGTTGCATTGTGCTGCCACTTGGTTCCTCTGCAGAGGAGGAAGATGAGGAGGAAACAGGAGCCCGGGGAGTAGCCCGGAATGGTGGTGGTTTCCCTCCATTCTCCAGGTGTTGCTGTCTCCTGCCTGATCCCTCAGGGTCTCTAGATCGGGTCCAAACATTGCCAGTGCTGGAGCGCCCGGTCCGACGGCTCCTCTTCTCCCGTTTCCCATCCACTCTGATCCAGAACTCCTCATCCGTGTCCCCATCTTCACCAGGGAAGTGCTTCATCATTGCCCGGTGGAAGCATCTCTCCAAGTTGTATGCCATCTTGGTGTATTCTGTGTTCAAAACAAGAGAGGCAGGGAGACAGACCTTAATGGATAAAGATAATCAGGCAAAGTCAGATTGTCTCTACTCTAAAGGCTCTGACTTCTCATGTTTATATAAATATCTTCCTTGGAGAAGCTAAATAGAAAGGTGAAGAGGGAAGGGCTGTTTGCAACCAGTCCACTCTGGGTTATGAATTCATCTGACTTGGTCAGTACTTGGACTGGAGACTTTCAAGAAACACAGGGTGGGTGAGGTAATATCTTTTATTGGGCCAACTTTTGTTGGTAACAGACACAAGCTTTTGAGCTACACAGAGCTCTACTACATATCTGGGAGAGCGAGCATCATAGCACAATGCACGGTGGGACAGATTGTTTAGCACATTCAAGGTAGAGTGGCCCGTTAGCACCTCTGCAGTCATAGGACAAAAAGAGGGGGTTACTGGGTTACAGATTGTTGAAGTAAACCACAAATCCAGTGTCCCTGTTCAGTCCATGATTTTAGTGTCTAGCAGAGTTATGAATTTAAGCTCCCAGGTTTGTCTTTTGAAAGTGTTGTGCAGGTTTCCTTCATGATGCAGTTTATTTTAAGACCACATCAAACTAACATCCCAAAATGGTTTAAAGGGGAATTATGTTGCTAGAAATGCCAACTCTCAAATTATACTTCAGATACTGGATCTTAACAGTCAGTCAGTAACAATCCTATGGTTAATTTTAAGAGTGGTGTCAACCTCCATGTCTTGGAGAAATTCTTATGTTTTCCCAACTGGAATTCCACAGTAGTGTAATCTGGTTATTATAGTCACTGTCTTGGACTGTTATTAAGCTTTGCTGTGCATTATAGAAAAAGGTGAAATTCTCTCTCTATAGTTTTGAAAGCACTTTCTGATCCTTGTGCACAGAACATGCTACACGGACGTCAGTCATCCCATGTGTGTTAATTCCACAGGAAAATTTGCTCAGATGTAGTTTCTTGGTTTTCAGAGGAGTCCATAAGAAGTAGAATGGCATGCCAGTGGCATCAAGAGAGTGACTCAGTGCAAATCACATGATAGTTGTTTCCTCTAGACCACTCCAGAATTTTCTTTGCAGCACACCACTACTGGAAAAAAATAGTTACTTGCCTTTTGTAACTGTTGTTCTTTAAGATGTGCTGCTTGTGGGTCCATTCCATTCCCATGCTGTGTGTGCGCGCCCATGTGCGCGGTCATCGGAGATTTTTGCCTTAGCAATACCTGTAGAATTGGCTGCGGCGCCCTTTTGAGTGCCGCGCTCATGTGTCAGTATATCAGGTGCTGCCTGCCCTATGCCCTCTCAGTTCCTTCTTGCTGGCAACTCTGACAGAGGGACAGTAAGGCAGGTAATGGAATGGACATGAGCAACACATATTCTAGAACAACAGTTACGAAAGTTAGGTAACGTTTTTTTCTTCTTCGAGTGCTTGCTCATTTCAATTCCATTCTAGGTGGCTCACAAGCAGTGCCAACTGAGATGGGCTTGGAGTTCATGGTCTTGCAACACTGCTCTGCCAAAGCCAGCATCGTCTCGAGCTTGCTGGTAAGTGCACTGTTACCTGTGAAAATTTAGGGCACCTCTCCTATACCCTACTGAGAGCTTAAGGCGTGACCTGGTTAATTTAAGACATCCCGCCTATACCCTACCGAGGGCTTACGGCATGACCCAATTAATTTAGGTACCCCCATGGGGGGTGGGGGGTCGGTTTAGGGTGTAAGGCACCTATTTTTATCCACGGGGCTTAGGAAGAAACCCGGTCAATTTAAGTACCTGCCCTTTTTTGGGGGGCTTAGGGCTTTATGGGTCTGCGGAACCTTTTTTTAGTGAAAGAACCTTACACAGTTGTGCTTTAAACATTTATTTATTAGCAATACACACAGAATACATATATTAAGCAAATTTTTTATGCTTACCATTTTTAATAAACAGACATTTTACCTGATGACTAGTCAGGATTTATTTATTTTGGGGGGGGTTGGCAATGCCTCTACACATTACGGTTGTGCAGAGGGGTTAGAGTTTTAGCAGCTTGATGTTGAACTGCAGTCCAGAAATGTTTTTTTAAAGAGCACTGTTTTTTATTTATATTATATAGGTAAAAATAGGCTTTTAAAAAAAATGTATTACATTTATTATATTATTTTATATTTTTAAATAATAAAAATTTTAATCAATTACGCACTGGCACTTATGTGGGTTTTTTTGTTTAAGATTTTTACATTTTATTATTTATGCCCAAATAGTAACTTAATTGTGACCTTTTTTATTTGTGCAAATGGTCAGCATCAAACGCTGGTTAGAGCTTATTTTACCATTTGTTGAGGGTTTTTTTTTTTAAAAAATTTTTAGCGTTTTTACAACCTTGGTGGTTATAACTTTTGTTAGGGACATTCCTGAGGTGGGGGTGCTTTTCCAGCAGCAGAACATTCCTTTTCCCCCAATTTTAGTGGTGAACTCCTTGAATTTTACCCAAGGCTGGTTTCATGGGGGGGGGGGGGGGTTTGATTAGGTCTCAGGCCGACAATTCCCCTCCGTGATGACGCTTTCACCAAAGCAGTCATCATTACCATGGGATACCCACGTTACGTTACTAGGGTATGCTTTCCGGGTATGGTCAGCAACAACTGATTTCGCATATTGGCCGTATGTATTTTTTGGATGATTTTTTTTTACCCATACCAGCAGTATTACCATGCTTAAAAGCAAAGCCAATTGGATTTCAATTATTCAATTATAAATTATTCAATTATAATGTGCTGCGTTTATCAGTTATGCTGATTCTTATGCGGTTTGCAGTTATTTTATTTAGGTGGTGCATTTTGCCTGTAATTACTTAGCCACCAAGTACCGTCCCTGCAACACAGCTGCCTTAGTTTGCTCTTGCAAACCTCAAATTTGTTTCCCCAGTGTCTGTTGCCTTTGTTTGCATGCCAAATGGATGGCAGGATTCCCCTTTTTTGCTGCAATTAATTGTTCCTGGGCAACTTCATGGATTAGTGCATTAACCCACTCACTCTCTGATTTTCACCTTGAAGAAAAAACATTTTTTTTAATTTACTCACTTGGGATCGAGTCGCAGCTCCAGTCTCTTAAGGTGGTCTGTGAATTCTGCTACCATCCATGATTCCTGCCATTCCTTTCTCAAGGGGGCCTATGGCCCTTTGGGAAAGGCATGGGGATGAGGGGTATGACCACCCGGGATCTGTCCCCTCGGGATCAGTCGAAATATCCCTCCTTAGGTAAGTATCATCTCAGGGGTCTGAAGTACCCCTGGTATCTGCACCTATTCCTCCCCTTACTGCTGCCGCAATGCCCCTCTGGGCTCCCAGTTTATATTTCAACTCTTAATCTGTTGCATGCAGGAGGAATGATCGCCGCTTGCTTGGGCCCGAACCTGTTTTTCCTGCAGGATTGTTCTGACAACTGCCTGAACGTCCCTCAATTTCAAGCGTAATATCTCTATTTCCTTACTTACAGAGGCTTTATGCTGATTTAAGGTATCCTTTACCATACCCAATTCCAATTCCCAGTCTTCTAAGTGGTTCTCCTGAGATATTACTAACCTTGAGAGATTATAAGACACTTTCCATAGTGCCCACCCAGCCGCAATCTTTACAGCCCATTTATTCAATGAAGACTTTGTATTTTTGCAGTATGCTTCAAACCCTTTACAAGCATGTTCCAGTGCATTTTTCCCCTTGAAAAGAATCATGTTCCCATGGGCGCAGACCTTGCAAGGAGGGTTGGTTCCTCCGCCAGTTTCCTGGCTTTTCAACGTAAGTTTCCCACTCTCCCTATTCCCTGGAATGTTCATTCTGTCAACAGGCTGCAGTCCTGTTGACAGAAGAGCACAAATATTCTGTCCAACTGCTGTATACGGCTCAATCCAAATGACCTAGGTTGCCTGCATTCTCCACCAGTATGTTACCTGCGGAAAACTAGGGCACCCTGCCTATACCCTACCGAGGGCTTAAGGCGTGCCTGGTCAATTTAGGACACTCCATCTATACCCTACTGAGGATGTAAGGTGTGACTCAATCAATTTAGGCCTCCCTCCCCACCCTTTCCCTTGGGGCTCAAGGTGTAAGGCACCTCTTCTTACCCATGGGACTTAGGAAGAAACCTGGTCAATTTAAGAACCCACCCTTTTCCTTGGAGCTTAGGGCTCTACGGGTCTGCAGAAACTTTTCCCAGTGAAAGAGCCTTACACAGTTGCTAATAAATAGGTGTTTAAAGCACAACACACACAGAATACATGTACCAAGCAAATCTCTTATGCTCACCACTTCCAATAAACAGACAAATTTCACCTGATGGCCAGTCAAGGTTTATTTATTTGGGGGTTCCCGGCAATGCCTCTGCACATCACAGTCGTGCCAAGTTCCAGCAGCTTGATGTTGAACTGCAGTCCGGAAATGGTTCCCAAAGAGCATTGTTTTTCATTTATATTATATAGGTAAAACTAGCTTTCTTTTTTAAATTTATTAAACCTACTACATTATTCCACACTCCTAAATAACAAAAATTTTAGGCAGTCAGTCACTGGCACCTATGTCTCCTTTTTTTTGCCCGTTTTTTACTTTTTATTTTTTATACCCAAACTGTAACTTAATTGTGACCTTTTTTATTTGTGCAGGCGGTCAGCATAAAATGCTGGCTAGAGCTTATATTACAACCTGGGTGGTTATAGCTTTTGTTAGGGACATTTCTGAGGTGGGGGTGCTTTATTACCAGCAAAAAAAAATTTTTTTTTAATTTTAATAATAAATTCCCTAAGTTTCACCCAAGGCTGGTTTAATATGGGGTGGGGTGGGGGTTAATTAAGTCTCAGGCCTACAGCACAATGAGACATGTACGTGTGGACAGATGACCAGGTAGCAGCTCTGCAGATCTCTTGGATTGGTACCTGTGCCAGGAAGGCCACTGACGATGCTTGTGCCCTAGTCGAGTGTGCCATCATGATTGCAGACGGAGGCATCTTCTCAAGCTCA